AGAAGATGTGAGACACGAAGAAGAGTTGAGTTCCCCATTTTAAGAGCGATTCCATAATTAGATGAATTAAGTAGAGTAGAGTAGACAGGGGATTCAAGTCTAAGCAGAACAATAAAGTTAATTAACAATAAGTTATTATTATTATTATTATTATTATTATTATTATTATTATATTGGATTTCAAAGTTATATGGGTATCAACCCAAAGAAAACAGCACGAATATCAAATGAGATATGGTAGGAGAATAATAGCACAGATATCTGAAAATACGAAAATCGTGGAATTCTGCCACTGTCAGCACGATGTGCATAATGCAGCACATAATGCAGAATGATGAATATTTAAGGAAATATAGTGATTTTACACTAATATACAATCTATTATGAATATTAAATGCACTATGTTAAATGCTACATATTTAAATTAACTGTTACGTACTTGGACGGGTAACGTCATGTTTTCGCTAACTCGAGTGAATGTAGGGGGAACAATTGGTAAATTTTGTACGAATTGTCTTTAAGCGCTCTAAAACTGAAGTATTTGACTGAATAAATATGATTTAATTATATTAAACATATCCGTTGATTCTAGTAGTGTCAATCTAGAAGTACATAGTACAACTAATCGGCGTGCAATGAGATCCCTATTTACTGCCTGCGAATAAACGACGTCGAGTTGCTGCATATATTTCCGAGGGCCTCTCTGATTATCATGCATACCTTAGCCCCGACGAGGTTGTAGTATGAGCTGTGAGGCGGGTAGCCGTTTCGGCGTTTGATTTACTAGAGTGAGGAGATCGACAACTTGGTTCGGGCATCATTGATACCTATCTCACGGGGTAACTTGGCGGCCTTGTAGGCAGAGTGCAGTGCCATTGATCGTTGGCTGCGTTCCACGCACGAACAAAATACGATGCCAGTTTTGATGTGTGGAGACTCCCTCCGAGACGGTTTGCTCTTAAAGCAAGAAACAGATATGAAGATAGTCGAATATCCATGATATCATGATACTTTGAATATATATTAGATGATCTTTGATTAGAAATTTATGCAAACTTCTAAAGTCTTTTTGAGACTCTTGTAAAACACAACAAACTTTTTGATGTCGTTAATATACCAAAGTTAACTGTGTAGTATGTAAAGAACTATGAGTTCTTTAAATTTATAAGTTAGAACTTGTAAATAATATAATAATTTATTTGTAAGTGAAATCTGATTACATAAGAACGTGATATTTAAGTGGTAACAGATAAGACACTATTATGGAATAGTGATTTTTGAAGATTATGTTGACGAAATTCTGGTGCGCTACTGTCACTATTGTCTTGAAATAATTAAATGAATGGGTGAGGATTTTAATGAGAATACATTTACTAAAGAACTACTGAACACAATAAGGAAATCGAACGTTAACTCAACATAATAGATTGACGATATTTTCATAAGAATAGCTTTGAATCTACTTATCTAATTTGATATTGTAGATTAACTGGCTAATTACTCTTATTCAATAAATCGTATGTGTTAAAATTGCTGGATTGTAAATCGTGGAAATGCACTCTAAGGAAGCGTTAAAGAATATTAATAAAAGGAATTCTACATCCAAGATGAATTACTGACAAATGTGAACATAAAAAGAGATCTCCATCTTTGATTTTTAACGCTCCAACGCTTGTTTTTTTACGCTTTATTCCTCACTCCATTAAATACAGTACCGCACAATCTGGAAAAGCTATCACTACCACCAAAAAATGTTGCATCAGAGAAATGTCTTGTCAGAGTTACTGCTTGGATGACTGCCTCTCTGAAAAACAAAACAGCTGCATGCTTGATCTAACTAAATTAGGAATGCAGAAGGTGCGTCCCATCTATCTGCGCCCAATCAGTCCATGTGTTTCGCGAATCGTCCCTTGCGCAGCACCCGACCCGCAACATCCGTCCCCGGTTGCAGGCTGCTTTGACGTCAGACGCGGCGAGCATTAGGCAAATGAGCCAGCGCAGCCTTCTTCCCTGCGCCGGCGCCTCCCGCACAAAGAGCGAGCGCTCGCATTCGCATGCGCGGCCCGCGCCCACTGTCCCAACTGCCCGACGAGCGCGACGGCGCCCCGCCCCGCCCCGTTCATCCACCACTGTCAAGCCTCCGCCGTCGCCCTCTCAATCCCCGATCCACTCGTCATCCCGACCCCGTCCCTCTCATCCCGAGCCCATGTCACTCATCCTTAGCCCATGTCACTCATCCCGACCCCATGTCACTCATCCCGACCCCATTTCACTCATCCCGACCCCATTTCACTCATCCCGATCCCATCTCGCTCATCCGTCCCCATCTCGCTCATCTGACCCCATCTCGCTCATCTGACCCCATCTCGCTCATCTGACCCCATCTCGCTCATCCCGACCCCATCTCGCTCATCCTGACCCAATTTCGCTCATCCTGACCCAATTTCGCTCCCTCCAACCCCTCCCGCTCCAACCCTCTCGTCCCGACCATCTCCATCCCGCCCCAACCCTCTCCATCCCGCTCCATCTTGTCTCTTCCCGGCCGTTCCCTTCCCGTCCTTCCTGCCCTGGACTTCCCGCCGCGTCTCTTCGCCTCTGCCACCCTACCCGTCCACAACTCGCCCCTCCACTGCCCCGCCTCCACCATGCTCTCTTTCCCACCGCTGTCCCTATCCTAGAGAAATCTCAAACTCCTCCACGTTCGCCTCTGTCTTCGTCTGCCCCTATCTCCGCCTTAGATCTCATTCGCAACCGCACACAATTCTGAAAGTTGCCCAAGCCCTTTAAGCTCGCGACTACTGGCACCAAAGCAATCAGAACATCTTGCGCTGATGCCAGACTCTCGGTTTTCGTAACTGGCAGTTGTTCATCAACTTGCCTCTTTCTGCCTATCGTTAAAATAAACTCGTCCTCACTAATATTCAGTCCAGATAACTCAACCAGATATTCAGACACATTTGTCTCTACCTTTCTTCCACATTCTGACATTGTTTGCTCCTAGATACCTAATCCAGAGGTTCCCTCAATCAAATATTCTGCAAAGTCGCCCCCCCCTCAAAAATCCACCCCATCAATCCAAATTGCAAATTCAGTTCGCGCATTTAACTATTCTCCTGAACATTTACATCTACTTCTGAATGCCCGTGCTCTATCTGATAACTATTTCCGAACGTACGATAAGAATTGGGGTTTTATTGAAATTTCATTTCTCCAAGCTTCCTATACTAAACTCAAAATAACATTGCCACCAATTTTTAAATATGCGCTAGCCAGTGCATTTAAAAACATAAAATTACATAGCCATTCAGAGTAATAAAGCAGGAGCAAGATTGAACAAAAAGTTTATTTTCTTCAAAGTAATGCACGCAGACGCAATGATGAAATAATTTCAAAATGTTTTCTTTAAAACTGTTCAGTAATTATGAATATTTAAATGGCTTTTATTTTTCTTCTGTAAATGCAAATATTTGCTTCGATTCTAATTGTCTTAACACAAATTATGCGATATTATTTTGATTATATAGAAATAAGATATGGATAATGTAGATTAACGAAAGAGTAAGTTGAAAACTATGTGTTCACGAAGACGTAAAGTATAGACATTACTGCAACAGAGAGTTAAATAGAAACGCGTTCTATGACGTAAAATTCGGTTAATCCAGAACTACTTGAAGTTGTATACTTCTTACGTCATAACTAACGCCAAAGTATTCCTAATTTATGCACAAAAATGAAATTCATCGATTGATTACCACTATTTTTTAGGAAACATTCATTTTTCTTTTGCAAGCACATAAAAGCTTAAAAAAGCAGTATATTTCCATCGCACCCGCAAGTAAATCTATTCATACGAATATTTACAATTTTATTTCAGATTCTCAAAGTTCAGTTAGGTACTCAAATCACTGCAAGGTAGAATGGATCGTCAGAAACACTTTTTGGCAGTTAAATGAAGTTAAAATATCTAAAATTTAAAATAGTCATGTAAACATTTTCTCGTAATTAGTAGTGGTGATTTTATTACTAAAATTCACCGAGGTCTTAAAGTCTATCACAAAAGAGTAGTATCACTGAAATATCATTATCATATATTTTGTACATAATCCTTATTAGAAAAGAAAACAGCAAAACTAGTTTTGTCCAAGGAAACAAGTTTGTTAAGATCTTAATTTAACAACAAATTAAGTTAATTTGTTAAGATCTTGTTTTATAATGATCGCAAGGTGTGTTGCCTATCGTTCTGATCATTCTTGATTTTGATGATCGCTTTAGCTAATTTCTTTTAACCGAGTATTTTCCTTACAATTTTCGAATAGGTATTAAATGCGAAATATTTGACATAAACCTCTTCGTACATGTGAACAAGGGTACAGATAAATCATTTACTAGCCAATTATGTGGTCACTATGGTTTAGTTAACGAATTCATTAAATCTATATACTTGAGAACTTTATATTGGTTTTCGAATTACTTCTGACTTTTCAACTACTACTAACAAAGTACTTTCTCATACAAAATAGTTTGAATGAATTGATGAAACGAAAATACATATTGATTTTTAAAGATATATTTTTCTGCATTTGAAAGTAAATAATGATATAAGTTAAATTACAAACGTTGATATATTTTTTATGAAATATATATTTACGACAATCTACTTAATTCGCACTCTTGTGGTCCCTCATATATGACACTGGTTACAATTTGTTCCATGTACTTCATCCTATTGAAGCATTAAGGTATTATTCACTTTCGTATAAAGAGGATTTGGTATGCGTGGAATTTCAAAGGAAACCAATATTACAATATATAGTTTTATTTATATATCATATACATAGTTTGCTTACATTTAAAATATATTCGAATAATTAAATATCTCTTAGTATTAATATTAGGGACAGTAAAAATATAGCATCTTGAGGTTCTTAAACTAGGACGATCCATCACGTTGAATCACATTACGGAGGGCAGGTGGCTGGCAGCAGTGCTGGGCGGCGGCGGGCGCCGGCGGGGCCAGGGCCAGGGCCTGGGCCTGGGCCTGGGCCTGGGCGTCGGCCCTTGGCCTGAGGATCTGGTGCGGCCAGGGTGCAGCCCGGGCCGCAGGGAAGGCTCCGCCTACGCACTGCCGTTCGCCCGACGCGACCTGCCCAACAAGCCAATCATTAGCACGGGAACGACACACATCCAATCAGCATTTTCTCTTAGCACTAGCTGCTCACTAATCACAAACACACTGGAGTTAGATGCTAATTATTTTTTCTATATGTAAATGTTTTTGAATTAAATCTATTATCGAGTTATGGTTTTTTATGAGTAGGTTATTCGTTTTTATTATTTCAATTATATTGGAAGTATGTGATTTTTCATAGCTCAGATTTAAAAATGTTTGAATAAAATTAATTTTATAAATAAATCTATGTTTTATGAGTGAAGTATGAGTGAAGTAAAAGAAACTATAGATTGACAGATATTTCAAGAATTCAAATCATCACCTTAATCTGAAACAAAAGTATTTTGCAGTTTGGGGGCTTCTACTTCTTACCTAACAAGTGTGTCAGCTTAGAAGGAAATTTCGCCTTCAAGAATCCTAGGAAGAAGACAGAAATGGATGAGAAATATAAATTTTATTAATTCACTACCTTGTGTAGTTAAATGTGGAAATAGGAATCTACTGCTGCATAAGAAATAAGAGCTATAGACATGAATGTCCAGTTTAGTAACTGGTAATAGAAGTATATATTAGGGAAAGATAGGAAGAACTGTATCACATTGATGTGAGTGTAATATGCACATCACAAGTCATTAGCGATTAAATATCATCTTAAACCTTAAAAGAGTTCTAGAATCCCGTTTTCACATCCTCCACCATCTGTATTTCGAGAAACATACATCACATCTCAACAGATTAAAAGAGTTACTAAGCAATTGTTTATGCTGCTCCACGCTCTGAACAATATTGGTCAAGTTTCACGGTCTTCATCAGATACGTTTAGAATAAAGATTTTGTGACCATTTTCAAAGTGCAAATGAAACTATCAAAAGCGCCACAGATCCAGTAGGCATAACTGATCAACACGGTTCTTCCAAGTAAGAAAGATAACCGAATGGAAGGCACAGCGACCTAGGTAGTTATGCCAACGTTTCAGGCTTCTTACTGTATTCTTGTTTAGGACGAATACAGAAAGTGTCAACACGAAGACCGAAATGTTGACAATACCGTTCAGGATGTCGCGACTCCAACACAGCCAAAATTCATTCTCCCCGATTGCGTAAGCTTATAAATTAACTGTTTACCATGTGCCAGAGAGGCATTACGAACAGACCACAAACGCTAGGTAATGTTGCCAGCATTCTATGTTGTGACGGGAAGCATCTCCAAGCGGAGCGGCAAAGCCCTAGAGCGGGTGAGGGGTGGGGCTCCGAGGGGGTACTTACGCCGCCTTGCGCGAGCCGTTGCCGCCCAGGAGGTGCGGGCCACCGTAGGCCGTCGCGTGGCTGGTGGCGACGGCGCCGCGGCCTCTGCTGAAGCTGTTGGCGATGGCGGTGGCGACGCCCGGCGTCTCGCCGCCCGCCGCGCCGCTGCGCCCGCCGGGGTAGCCGCCGAAGATCATGGGGAAGTAGGTGTTGTAGAAGCCCCCGCGGCCGCGGCCCCGCTTGCCCGGCAGCACCGGGAAGTCGTCCTCCTCGTCGGAGTAGTCGTCGTCATCGTCGGCGCGGGGGCGCGACTTGCCGCCGTTGCCGTTGCCGTTGCCCTTGCCGTTGCCGTTGCCATTGCCGTTGCCGTTCTTCTTGCCGTTGCCGTTGCCGTTGCCATTGCCGTTTCCGTTGCCGTTCTTCTTACCGTTTCCGTTGCCATTGCCGTTGCCGTTTCCTACGAACCAAGCAAGAATCATGTTATTAAATAGAATGATCACCCTACAACTCGGCGACGTGAGCATTCTCTGATATTATTTCATGTTTATGTACACATTTGATCAAATCAAATAATTGCCTAGAATGTCCTACATAGGTTGTAAAAGCGTTCCAAAATAATTTAATGGTTGCTCTATACGAAAATAAAGGATTGTTCTGCTTAGAGACGTAGGGAATATTGAATGAAATAAATGAAAATCAATTATTGTGAAGTTAATTTCATCCCAGTGGTATTCAAGTAAATGAACCATTCATAGAATCATAGTATCAGGAAGAGTCTGGTATGTATCTTGCCTGAATCTACAAGTTAAATCAAACGTCATCGTCCACATCGCTTTCACTGTAAAAAAAAAAAAAACTTCTCTTAATCCTTTGCGCATTAACGGCATGTAATCAGAGACGCTTAGTTGCAAAAAGATTCTCGAAGAAGAGCTAACTAACTTGAAAAATGTCCCTAAGTGAATAAGTGAGAATATTTTTGGTTTGGCTAAACCGATTTAAATTTTAAATCGTCCTCGCCGGGGTGGTGTTGCGGCTGGACTCACCGTTGACGGGCGGGGCGGGCGCGTCCTCTGGGCTTCCTGCGGGTCGGCGCTGTCGAAGGCCGGGGCCTCGGTGGCGGGCTGCTCGGCATCCCGCGGCGTCGGCTCGTCGCCCGGGTAGGCGGCGCGTCGGCGGCCGGCAGCTCGTCGGGCAGGACGCGCCGCCGCCGCCGTTGACAGGATCACCTCAGGGCGGGCTGGGGCGGGCTCGTCCCGCCGGATCGCGTTGCCGTGGCCGTTGCCGTTGCGTGCCGTTTGTGCCGTTGCCGTTGCCGTTGCCGTTGCCACTGGCCGCACTCGGGCGCCACGCCCCGCCGCCTCCGCGTTGCTGCCGTAGTAGGAGCCCGCCGAGACGGTGTTGCCCGCCGCGAACGCCGTCATGGGCGCCTCGGGCTCGTAGTTGCGCGGCACGTAGTGGCGGAAGCCGCCGCCGCCGTGCGGGTAGTGGTGCCGCGGAAGTAGCCGCTGAACATCATGGTGCGCGGGCTGCGCGTACCTCCGCACGCGGGGCCCTGCGGAAACACCGCCCTGCGTCACCGCTCGCTTCCGCCGTCACCGCTCGCTCCGCGTCACCGCTCGCTCCGCGTCACGCTCGCTTCCGCTCGCTCGCGTCACCGCTCGCTCGCGTACCGCGCTTCCGCGACGCTCGCTCCGCGTCACCGCTCGCTCCGCGTCACCGCTCGCTCCGCGTCAGCCGCTCGCTCCCGCGTCACCCGCTCGCTTCGCTCCGCGTCACCGCTCGCTCCGCGTCACCGCTCGCTCCGCGTCATCCGCTCGCTTCCGCGTCCTCACGCTCGCTCGCGTCACCGCTCGCTCCGCGTCACCGCTCGCTCCGCGTCACCGCTCGCTCCGCGTCACCGCTCGCTCCGCACCGCACGCGACGCTCGCGCAGCGCGGCCACCGGCGCTTTCATTGCAATACTCAATGTCGCCACCGATATTTGTTACACAACTCATCAAAATATACATGGAATTTATAACCTTCGCATGATTATTATACTGATTCTTTACAGAGCACTCGAAGCAACTATTGGATTTACGTACTCAGTGTTTGGGGTATCTGAATTTATCCGACGGATGTATACTTTACCGAATGTCACGTCGTTTGAGTTGGAACAAAACAGTTTTCTAGAATATTGTGTTTTCATAAGCCTATTGTTTGTCCCTACTGTAAATTTTGCAAGTTATACTAGAGAAAGACTACACAAATGTTTCTATGTGCGGGGGAAGTAGAAGAGCGAATAGCAAATCCTGCCCAAGCAATTCAATTTGATAATTACTTAAAATAAGATAAAACACACTAGCTTTATATATCACGTTTACTACTGAGTGCCTCGTTATTTGATCATTTGTCCATTACCAAAATTGGTATGGAATAATATTTAATCTGTACTAACTGAAGGAATTGCCTATTAGCACAAGAATTATAAACTGCCTACGAGTACGAAGACCGTCCGGTGAAGCGACTTGGGAATGCCTCTGTTCTTTACCTCCGACTGAAACAAACTGGTGTGGTTTAATTATCTAAAAAAGCAATGCGTGATTGCAAATAGACGTTTCTTTTTTCCTTAATTATACTCTCAACAATAATAGGTGTTTTGAGTTTAATCAAAATTCGTTGCAATGAAATGTTTAATTTGATTATTGCTTTAAAATATAAACTGAACTGCAGAAGTGCTAGAACTGCTAGATAAACTTGCACGTGAAGCTACTATATTGAAGCAGAAACTTCAACTTGCAAGTTTTTGCTTTCCATTTTTTTGCCTATATTCCAAAGAAAACGAATTCCAGGAGCGACGTGCAAATGAAATGCTCTTGAGCCATTTCAGTGGAAGAGCGCGTGCGTTCGGCAGCCGAGGCGCGGCGTTCGCTAGGCGGCGCGGGCAGAGCGGCGGCGCGCGCCGACACGCTGTAAATCTCGGGCGATGGCGGCGGCGGCGTGCGCGGACGTGCCCTGGCGGCCGCACCGCCTGCCCGCCGACGCCGACGCATCCCAAACAGACGACGCCGACGCCGACGCTCGCCCGCGCGCTCGGCTGCCTCGCCTCGTCGCGTCGCGTCTCGCCTCGCCTCGCCTCGCCTCGCCTCGCCTCGCCTCGCCTCGCCTCGCCTCGCCTCGCGTCGCGTCGCGTCGCGTCGCGTCGCGTCGCGTCTCGCCTCGCCTCGTGTCGTCTCGTCGCGTCTCTTCACGTCTCTTTCCGTCTCCGTCTCGTCCGTCGCGTCGCGTCGCATGTCTCCTCGTTCACCTCTCCTCGTCTCGTCCCGTCGCGTCTCGTTTCGTCTTATTTCGTCTCGTTTCGCCGCGTAAGCCGTTGTGTCTCTAAGGCACTGAACGTTTGTAAGTCTGCGTCTGCCCGCTTCCGTCAGACAGATGTAGGAACGGATGCGTCCAGACGCTTGCTTTCCTCGAAGCGACAGCTCGACGGGCAATGTGCGGTGCAGTCGCTTGCTCCGCGCGGTTGTAGTCTGGTCACTCGTCCGAGAGCTCGACAATGTAGAGGAACGGCGCATCTCCGCGAGACAGGAGAACAACGGGGATAGGTACTGTCCAGTCGCTTGCTTTCTTGGAGCCAGTCAGCTCGGCGGAGGCTGTCGGGAGTCACGGAGTTACTTGCTCCACTCGGTTGTAGTCTAGTCACTCGTCCTTCAGCGGCTCGACGATGCAGCAGTGTATTCCGTATTAACGAAGAGTGCATTCTCTGAGAGCTCGGAGAGATACTGTCTAGTCACTCGCCGTCTCGCACCGTCTGCTCAGCGCACAATCTGGGCGGACGTGGTGCTGTCACTTGCTCTGTCGGATTGAAATCTGTTTCACACGCTCCCTACGGTAGATCGATAATGTAGAGCCTCCCCAACAGATGGACGGGCAATGTAGAGAGAGGTATCCTTCAGTCGCCCGCGTTCATTGAGCCGTCAGCTTGGCGGACACCATTGGCTGATACGTTGTAGTCATTTACTCGGCATGAATGTAGTCTAGTCACTCGCCCGCCCTCTCCAAACAGCTTGACAATGTAGAGCTCACAGAGCCCAATCACTTTACCGTGCCCAAAACCTCCAACCACCGTCCAGCAACTCGACAGTATATAGAGAGCCATTTTTCTGTCACTTGGTATTCCTGCGGCTGGCCAAAAGAAATTATCGCTAGCTGTACCCAGTCCCTCCCTGAACCCGACTGATAAATGTAAACAGACGGATGCCGTTCCCTCGCCCCTTTTGATAGGTCCCGAGTCCGGCAAGCAGAAAATACAGAGAAGTGCTACCCATTCACTCTCGCGCCGGACAGCCTGTGACAGACGGGATGGACCCAATCGTAAAATCCCCGTTGAGCGCTTCTAACTAGCAACTTGCGACGCCACATGGCGAGGTCGTTCGGTTTCGTATAGCAGATTTACCGGGCGTGTGCCCCATCGTTTGAACGACATTTTCTGCATAATGTAAGCTCGACTCCGGCTTGGAATACAAATATGGTATAGGCATTCGAATATGTTAGGAAGTGTTTGTTTACGAGACATCAAACGTTCGTGAAGCTGCGTTTGATTGTTGAATACTGTTTTTGTTCTAGAATCACTGTTCAATTTCTTGGGGGGTAAAAGGTAGTGTAACAACGTGATACGACAATTAAATGACATATTTTAAAAATGTTATATTTTCAATATGAACTAAATTTATTAAATAACTTTTGACTTGATCATGCATGATTAAAACATCATGCATAACACATCTCAAATAATGCTAATAATTCGCTGATTTCGAACGTCTGGATCTAATGGAATTTAAAATGAGAATGAAATGCTGCTCGGCTGCCTATATTTCACTACTTGCAATTGAAGGCATGCGAATCTCAAAATGGCTGTAAATAAGCTTAGTAAAGAGTAAGGATCTTAAATTGGCAATGGCAGAACATCTGTTGTTTAAAATTTATTCTAAATACTTGAAGACTTGAAAAATTGGAGCAGCTTTTACAATTTAAAGGAATAGGTTTTTCTCTTCAGTTTAGAGTTAGTGGCCAAGTTAATTCCGACAGATACGTTTATAATCGTCCCTACAGATGTTATTAAAATAGAGCAAATATTATGGAAGGTAATATTCCAACAAACTCCCGAAACTCTTTCAGGTAAGGCGTCTGCAATTCGAAGAAATATTTTTTTTCCTTTCGGAGCAGGGAGGTTCCTTGCACTGTTTCAGAAATAATATTACACAGCCTACGGATGTAACTTTATTCCCTTGAAAATTCCAGTTTATGCACAATTTAAGACCATTACAAATTAGAAGAAATATCAAGAAAAATTTGTTTGATGTGTCGCTCTACGGGAAGTTTGTCGCCAAAGGCGGCGATTGTCGGATTCGAGGCCAACGTCTCTGATTTCCCTCATTTCTGTGGTTTCGCTATTCACTTTCAGGCGAATGTGTGAGCAACAGCTTACGAGTCACTGACTGTGCGCGATCTTTCCTTCCCAAGCCCTTCCTTTCATAATAATTACCACCACCGTCATCGCATTATCTCCCCTATTCCGGGCTGGAACTCTATGATGAAGTATGACCCGTACTGACTCACCCCCATCAGAACGTACACACATCGTCGGGAGTCCTCCCAAATCTTGCAACTAATTGGATCTAACTCCAAGAAATCGCAAAGAAGCTGCGATTTTCCCGCGAGCGGTTTCGTGCAGCTAGTGTCCGTTCGCTCTCACCTGGATGGGCGGCGGCGGCGGCGACGCACAGCGCGACGAGCAGGCAGGCGAGCAGCGACCTCATGGCGGCGAGCTGGGGGGAGTCCTTCGGCAGCGGCTGCAACAGACGCGCGGCGCGGCGACCGCCGACTTGAGCGGCGGATCAAGATACACGCGGCGGCGCGCACACCGCATCTGCATACGAAGGCGCCCCGCCGCGCAGCGCCGCTCCGCATCGCACCGCGCAGCACGCGGCTACCGGCGCTGCGAGCGCGCAGCATCCTCAAGAGCCCTCGTACCCACCCACGCGGCTGACGCGGCGCAGCTGGCGCGCGCGCTTGGCACACGCCGGACGCGCATATTCGCTAGGTGTGAGGCTAATGGCAACGGCCGGCCTGCGGGCACGGGGGCTGAATAGTCAGTGACACGGCGGTTGAATCAAGTATTCCAGCTAAATGTTGTGTTCTGTTTTGAACTCTATTATTTGAGTGTTATTTGAGTGTGCTGACACGACACAAGGCACTATGCAAGTTACTAATTTTGTTGAGAATTACATGAAGGTTGAAAACAGTTGTTATTTTCAGGCGCGTAATGATTTCGGTTACCAAAGCCGTAACTTCACCTATGATGTGATTTGTAATAGTCTAAAAACTATGTAACGAAATGGAAGAAAATTGACATCACGTTAAAATTCCTCGGAAATGGTTATATTTAAATTAAATGTTAAAATTTAGAAATGCTCTCACTAACAGAATCAAAAATAATGTACAAGTATTTGCTAAAATAATTTGATATTTTAAGTTGGGATACGCTTTGTGTTGAAAGTTGTCGGTTCTAATGTACGCAAAACGAAGAGCGTGTGCGAAAGAAAGATGCACAATGCGATATTCAGAAAATGGACACTATGACACTGTTATAAAGTTTTTTTTAATGAGCACATTTTTGTAGTATGAAAGGCACAAAATGTTAGGCTGAGAAAGCTGCTTGTTCTCTGTAATTAAACTGATTTTAACGATTTAGACGGCGAGTAAAAATGTTTTTATACTTTTCCTGCATATACTTCTTGAACAACTAAAATGCTGAAAACTAGTAATGAGTGAAACCGACTGACATGCATTTGAAGTGAATGCAACTTTTACTTACAAACTTTTCATTCAGTAATGTTGCAAATATTATTTTACAAAACTGGTATTTCTTTGTGAATGTACAAGAACTATGAGGAATTAATAAATGTTTAGTTGCTACATTGAAAGACCAACTCTGTTAAAACGCTAAAATTTCAATATCGATATATCCTTTAAAATATAATACATAAACTACAATATCTACTCCTATTTGAAGTTAAAGTATGCTTACAGCTCGCCTCTTAATAGAAAGGTTCAACGGTGGTAATGCAACATGTCTCCGACGTGCCATTTCTAGGCAAACGTGACGACATTGCATCGAGAAGCTTTCTCACTCTTCCTGCGGCGAGAACTCGAGAATAACATACAAATCGGGTGTTCACTGTTGCTCAGCGGCTGGCAGAAAGATCTAAAACTATTTTCATACTCTCTAGACCTTTCTACTAGATACAGTGCCACTCCGAGTGTGTACAAGTGCATACGCTAGTCGCGATTTGATGGCCACGTGAGCTTCGTGGTGCGTGACGAATTAGAAAGTAAACGCGCTAGCAAGTGGCGCCTATTTGCGAGACAATGCTGGCGACAAGTCTACAAAAATGGGAGGATGTGACTAGTCGTATTAATTTACTAGTGAAGCACTTTGTATTCGGACTACCGTTCTGGCAGTCTGTTAAACGCGGTGGAGTACAACTTACGCATGGTTCAGCGAATGCGTTAGATGGGCGCGAAACACTGAGTTGCATAAACGTGTTGAAAATGTCAGTAAATCCTTAGTTCTTAAAAACCTGTGAAACTGTAGTGTTTTTACAATAAAATGTGTAAAACAAGATTGCAATGGTCTACTTGTGTTTCTTTACATTGCGATAAACGTAACTCGTAATCAAACCTACTTTTACAAAAAAATCTATGAACTGCTTGCGCACCTTTGTGAAATACATAACGCATAAACTTAGCAGCAGGGGTATGTCAAGTGGCCTCAAAACCATTCCTTCTTACTACTGGTTAAGCTGATACCGACTAAATGGCGCGTTACGTTACTAGGTTTCAAGCTTAGTACATAACGGTTTATATGAAAATACCTCTTTTATTCAAAGAGAGAATAACATTTTTCTACAACCACGTTAAAAATAATGAGTCACTTATTTTGGAATAGAAACACATCCTACGTTAATAAACGACTTCCTTTCGCAACACATTGAAAACACTTCGTGAGTGCTGTTATTTTGAGTGTAGAAATTGAACTCAAAATCTTTTACCAAACTCTGTCACTACCAAACAATCATTTGAAGTAGAAATTAGGTTGAAGAAAAGTGATTTTGGGACAATGTGAAATTATCCGAGGTAATTGAAAATGCACTTCTCTTATTTTACAAAAAAAAAAAAAAATCTTAGAGCGTATCCAGTGATTCGTCCCGAGGTGCTTTTTTTAGGAGTGACAACCTACGAGTCGCGTTTGAGTTTCACCGATCACCAATAACGTGTACCGTACTTCCACAAAGCGCGTCTGCTACGAGCTGTTGATAGGCACGCTTCAAGCGAGCGCGTTTCCGCTGAGGCCCCTACCAGTCGAAGGGGTGCGGCGGGCTGCGCTGGCCTGAGCTGGCGGAGCGAAGGCGACTGCTGACCCTGGGGTTGGTCTGGAGCTGCTTCAGCTGGTCCTCTGCGACGCTCCTGGTAGAACTCGTCGAGAGGGACTTGGGCTGAGCCTGTCGACTGAGGCGCGCGCCCGCCTTTTTATATCAAACCCACTCCCACCCTCACTCGCCGCTCGCCGCCGTCGCCGCCGCCTCCTCCGCCACGGGCAACACCTGAAGACTTGGCAATTACCCAGAAGGACATGCAGATCTGACATTTTTTATCAATCAGCCATTCAACGTAGGACATGCTTGTCAAGTCGCACACACGAGCGTGTACGTGTGTATGTGTGTGCGAATGTATGTGAGTGTGCGTTCTTTTCATGTTGCAATACGTGATTTGGGTAACGTAGCACCCCAGTACTGGCGGTGTGCGCGCTCAGTGGAGATCGCGCTGTCGGGCGGCGGGGCGCGCGGGCCCGGGAGCGAGGACGCAGGCGGGGACATGGGAGGGGATTAGGCGGGGATGTAACGTTAGAAAGAGCGGTAAAGGCACACGAGCGGGGACGAGGACGTCGTGGGAAAGGGCGGGGATGAAGACGCTGGAGACATGCCGAAGAGTACGCACAGTGTCAGACGGGACGTTCTATTAGCAAGCACTGGCGGGGATGTGAGGGAAATGGGCCCCAAAGGCAAGTAGAAAGGGAGAGTGCAAAGGGAGCTTCGGTCAATGAAGAGGCGGGGAATGAATGTCCAGATGGGGACGCGACAAGCAAACAGGCGGGTCCGGACGACGCTAATTGGCGTCTCGGTGTATACGGAGCGGGGCCGTTGGGGCCGTCCCAGCCCAGAGGCGGGGACTCGTTGGGCGCGGGGAGGCCTGCAGGCGGAGCAGGGCGCGGATGCGGGGGTGCGCGGCGTTTCGGGAGCGGGGTCTGCATTATTCAGCAGCGGGTCGGACGTTGAGCAATGCGCTCGGCGGGTGATTTAATCGTTTCCTGCGGGGCGAACGCGCGCCCGTCAGCCTCTGCCCGCGAAGAACCGTTCCACGGGGCAGATGCTATCTCTGAGCGCACAGGTCGCTCGCCCCGGATGGCAGCTGCCACCCCGACACGCCCCCGCCCCCGCCCCCGCCCCCGCACGCACTTACGCCGTGCATCCCCGACAAATCCGCAGCCTCCAAATGCATCTTCCTTAATAGCTTCTTGTTCTACGAGTATATTATTAATTTATTTGTTTATTTAAGGATCAGGAGCCCTTTAATTGCAGAGGTTATTGAAGCCCATTAACGATGACCGAATGAGTTGATAATTAGCGAAAATCAGGGAAATGGCGATGGAGAAATGGTCGAATGACTGTGATAGAAAATGGAGAACCACCAGAAAACAGACCCAGAGTTTATTTTGTTTGCCCTAATTTCCACATGGACAGCCTAGGTATTCAGCCTGGAACCCCAGCAATGGAAGGCTTTTGCACTTGCCATGTATCCATGACATCCCTTTTCTAGCGTACATTTAATAATTAGAGTGGTCTTAATTGGGGAAAGTTAGAAAATCTTCGATAATTCTGTGACTTATTTGAAATGTTGAAAATAAATTTACAAATTTTGGGATTAGATGAGTTTTGTCAAGTACTTATATGTAATAAAATGTCTAATATTTGAATATCAGGAAGGGCCCAACATGTATGACACTATTTTAATAACATTATTTATATGTCAAATTTCTTAAATTAAACCTTGAGCTGACATCTGCCTATACACTATGATAGATAGATAATATTCGTTTCTATAAAAAAGAAGACAAAAGTGCTGCTGAAAAATTTTAAGTGTTCGGTGCCAGTATTTGGTCTAAAAAGTTATATAATTTTATTCACAATTTCAAATGAGATGTAGAGATTACAACATCGCTAAAGTAACGAACTCATTAAAATATAAATCTACTATTGACAACTGATATTTTGGTTCTTGTGGCGTTAGGAATAATGTACATTTTAAAATAAAAGTGATTTTATATTTTTGAAAGCTTCGGAAACGTGTTCATAGCTTGTGCTGTGCATAACTGTGCTCATAGAACATTCGAGTGCTATAAAGTATTTGTTAATTTAATCCACTGCTATTTTTTTTATTTAAGGTCGCATCAACTACTAGGTCATTAGCGACCACTATTGCTTGTAACGGTATGGTAACTGTGGGGTGACACGATAATGATGATGATAGAGGGTGAAAGGACGAAACACAATACAACCATACCCGAGGCGGGACTCGAACCCGCGATCCTTCGGTCCGAGTTCGCTACGGCACAACTGCCTTAGTGATCTCGGCCACCGGATCGGCCACTACTATTTTTTATCACTCGTAATATATTTTCTGAAAATAATAGAATTATTATATATGTATATAAAATTTCTTTAAAAATATTAATGACATACTTTCACCGGGTTTCTTTGATTTTCTATTCTCTATTGTCACAGTTCTTGAAAACGTAATATTGCTAAGTAGAGGAATAATGGAAGATTTTTTTACCTTTTAAAAAAAGTGCCTACGTTCATTGTGGAATGCAGTATTCCATGTGCGTACATCCTCCCTGGAAACCCTGCGAAGCTATATTGCCTTGTGCATGCAGGGAGTTCCTGGGGGCATTAGCTTGGTGGCATGTTCAGACTGGTATGTTAAATCTGCTATGATGGTAGACAGATCAAGATGTGACACAATTGTACTACATATACATGTCAAGAGATGGAAGCTGCAAAATGAATCGGGAACTACTATAATTAATTCTTCGTTCTCCTGTCATACTACTCCTAAAATTTCTTTAGTGATAAGAAAATTGATGTACATGATATATTTTTTTAGAATTCAGAACGGATATTTATGATACGAGTGGTAAACGTTGCATTTTATTTTTCAAAGACGGAAGGTTGCGGCAAGAGGCCGAGTGGCGTAACACTACGATCAAAACAAATTACTTTTATTACGTGTGTCACACTATATTTCAGACAACCTTACCAATCCAGTTTATTTAAAGCATATAAATCACTTAAACGTGTACTGTTATCTCAAGATCAGTAGAAGTTGATGTGACCAGCCGAAAATATATATTGTTTTCTATGATGCATATACATACTGTAACGTAGAAAATGATACCATATATATTTAAAACATTTGATTACAACACTTTAAAACACTACACTCCATTGCACCATGTTTAAAGATTACTTTAAATGTTTGAATTGGAATGCGATACCATGCAGAGAGTACATAATGCATATTGCATTAAATAAATCATTTACGTCAAGAATAAATAGATACTAAATAAATCAAAGGTAAAATAATAAAAAGAACTTCGGATATAATCTGACAATGGAAATACGTATTTGTAAATACTTATATTTTTCATTATCTTTATAATATTCATTTATGAAAAAATATTCAAATAAATATCTGAATAACGTAATAAACAGCGAAATGATTGCCAAAAAATATCAGGTGATCTCTTGGGTAAGAGAGGATGAAATTTGATGAATCATGGATATCTTTAAACGTGGATGAAAGTTTGGAAATATATTAAATAGAAATTATGTGAATTATTAAAGAAATGTTTTTTAAGATACTTTTACAAATAAATCGTTTCTTCTTGCAATCGTTGATGCAGCATGTTCAAAAGGGCAAAACTATGTGTTACGGAGAGATTGTGTTTTTGGAACCATTGCCTCTCACATTCCCACCTAACGTAATAAAAGAATTCTAATGGAAGATAATATCAAATTGCCATTCGTGCTAGCATCTGAGGACTGCGGAGTACCCAGAATCCGAGGTGCGTACCTGCTGCCCGGAGGCCCTGTAGCCATCCTCTTGTGTATGCAGCCGCCTCTTTGCCGCGCGTTTATGCGAGGCGGTATGTGCACGCGTGGCGTGCGGGGGGCTAACAATGGCGCAGGGCAATTCAATTCGGAGGCCCCGTGCTGATCGTCACGACGGCCAACTGTAGTCGACGTCGTCATCGTCGTTATCGTCGCTGCTGTCACCGTTGTCAACGCGATGGCTGTGATCTGCTACCGCCAACTCTTATCATCAGTTCTACTGACAGCTTTACCGTCAGCTTGCTCTGTCAGTTTAACGTTCGCTCTTTCGTCAGCTTTACCATCAAGTATAGAGCCTCAAGACTCTCATCAGGTCTACAGTAAAGTTTACCGTTTGGTCTTCAGTAAAGTTTACCGTTTGGTCTTCAGTAAAGTTTACCGTTTGGTCTACAGTA